CATGAATATGAAATACACCTAAGATTGAATTCGAGGTCAGTCCTCTAAAAATTTCCTGTACTGAAATATTTCTGAAGAGGTTTAATTAAACTTGAAATTTACCCCAAACAAGAAGTTTAAATAAACTTAGCAACTGTAGATCTCCAAACTGATTTCATTTCTCTGAGACTTTAAAAAGCTCTTTTGCTGAAATCTCTTCTCTGTTTTGGTTTGACAGACCCAAACAATAAGGATAAAATTGGAAATCATGTAGTTACTGGACTGAAATAATAGGACTAGTCACTTGTTTGAAGATAAGTGTAAACCTTAGAGTTTAAAAAATTAGGACTTTCAGGCAATTGGCCAAGAAAAGTATGAAAAATGCAGGAGAAAATTGTTTCCTCACTTCTTTCAAGTTTAATAATCCTGAATGTTACAAATATTAATGTAGGTCAAGAATATTTCCAAACAGTAGCATGATTTTTAACTGCCAATGTCCCTTCAGCAGGGGCCAATACCACTGCTATTTCCGATAGCTTGTTAGGCCCAAATCCTGGAAATTAATCTGCACAGGTAGATCCCTGTGCCTCTGGGAATCCGCATTATGTCAAAGAGGGAAAACTAACTCACAGGATCAGATTCTTAATTTGAAGCTGGACCACTGTAACTCATTATGACACTAATCATAAATGTCTCACCAACACTCTCTGCTCCCCATCTGTTTGGTTTATCTTATCATAGTTTTATATCTCAATCCACGGGACTAGCTACAGTAGTCAAATTAAGCACCTGCATATGCCTGTTTCTGCAAGACCAGGTCCTCAGACAAAGGCAACATTTTTCTTGTACTTGTGCACACGCCTAGTTTATTCCCTGAATGGGACTACACAATAGAATGAAATAACTGTACCATCAATTTCTTCATTTATACAAATACAAATCTCAATGTTTTCCAGTAATCTAGCCATTTAAGCCAAAGGATAAACTTCTGAAGTGTAGCAGCTAGTATTTTCAATGGAAATGACCTGCATATCAAAAATGACCTGCAAAAGTATAAAACTGAGCTTTACAATTATTTAAAGGAGCATTTGCTTCTTTATCGTGCTGTCACAAAACAACGAGAAAAATTCATAAAATAATACTCATTGCAGACTACAAAGTCAAATCCACTGGCACCGACAGATCCTAAATTGAGACATGCTGAAGGGGGGGAGCATTCAGGCACAGCATCACTCCAGGCCTCCCGCTCTTCTAGTCTCCTCTATGCTTCCAAGCCAGTCACTGTCAAGCACAATGCAGTGGGACTAGATGGACCTTTCTTTTGACCCGGTATGGCCATTTGCGCATTCTTACAGGTATCCCACAGAAAGAAGCCCCAAATATTTTATGACAACTCCACTAGAACTAATCCTAGAATCCTTTTAATTTAATTAAAAGACACACATTAAGGTGTGAGCTTTTTGTGAGGGTTGGTTTTTTGGGGTTTTTTTTTGCAACCTCTCTCTTCTTATGAAGAAGTAGGGTTAAGAACTAAGCCAAAGTGCAATTACACATTTATTACACATTTCAATACTCTGATTAACAAATTTGTCAAACAGGTAGAGGAGGGAATGTGGGAAATGTGGGAGTCTGTTATAGACCACCCAACTAGGATGAGAGAACAGACAAGGTATTCTACAAGCGGTTGGCTGAAGTCTCACAATCTCTAGCCCTTGTTCTCGTGGGAGACTTCAACTTACCAGATACCTGCTGGAAATACAACACAGCAGAGAGAAAGCAGTCTAGGAGGTTCCTGGAGTGTGTGGAAGATAACTTCCTGACGCAGCTGGTAAGCGAGCCAACGAGGGGGCTGCCCTGCTGGACCTTCTGCTTACGAACAGAGAGGGCCTCGTGGGCGATGTAGTGGTCGGAGGCTGTCTTGGGCTCAGCGACCATGAAATGATAGAGTTTTCAATTCTTGGAGAAGTAAGGAAGGGGGCCGGCCAAACTGCTACCCTGAACTTTAGAAGGGCAGACTTTTGCTTGTTTAGGAGTCTGGTTAACACAGTCCCTTGGGAGGCAGTCCTGAAGGGCAAAGGAGTCCAGAAAGGGCTGGACGTTATTCAAGAAGGAAGTCTTAAAGGCGCAGGAGCAGGCCGTCCCCATGTGCCGTAAGATGAGCAGGTGGGGGAGAAGACCGGCCTGGCTGAACAGAGAGCTTTGGCTGGAATTCAGGAAAAAAAGGAGAGCCTACCGCCTTTGGAAGAAGGAGCAGGTGACTCAGGAGGACTACAAGGATGTTGTGAGGTTATGCAGGGAGAAGATCAGAAAGACGAAGGCCCAGCTAGAACTTAAACTGGCCACCACTGTTAAAGATAACAAA